AGATCTGGGCCCAGAAAGCCGGCTCCAAGGAGGGTCCTCTTCTCCTCTCTAGCCGTTTCCTTGGTACCTGATGCCTCAGATGGAGCCCAGAAAGCAGGCTCCAAGAGCCCCCACCCGGCCTTCTCCAGCCTTCCCCCAGCTGGGTGCGCCATCAGAAACACATCGGAACCAAGCAGCTCTGAGCGACAGTCAGCAGCCACAACCCCACCAGCCTGACCTGCCAAGAGGCAAACGCTGGACTTTGAGGCACAGGATACAAAATGCACATGTAAGTATTCTGGCTGGAGAAGTGGGAATCAAAAGTATGACAAGGGAAAACGAGAGTAAGGGAGATGACTGGCTGCCTTCACCAAGGATCAAATAGAGTATCTACAAGGGAGACGTATCATCACGGAAATGAAAGACTTAACATGAACTAATTAGGATTAGACAGATCATGAGACACGGCCGAGAAGAGAATTGGTGAACTGGAAAGGAGATAAAAATGCGTTTCTCGGAGGCAGTGGAGAGAGACAAAGCAATGCAGACTACAAGGCAAAATCGAGCGAGATGCGGGCAAAAGGAGGGGCCTGGTGTGTGTGTCACCAGGCAGCCCGAGGAGGCATCAGGGTAGGCGAGGATCGAGTTCAGAGAGGAGAGCTAAGGCTCCCAGAACTGGTGAAAAGCTCCAGCCCTCAAATTCAGAAAGCTCAGTAAACCCGAGCAGGCTAAATAAAAAGAAATTTCCACTCACACTCACCATGGCCAAACTACTGTGTCATAGACAAAGAGAAAGTCTTAGAAGTGGCCAGAGATAAAAGAGATGTTATCTAAAAAGAAATGTCAAATAGACAGATAGTGGGGATCTCAAAGAAGCTCCAGAAGCCAGAAGATGGGAGAATAACACCTTCAAAAAGCCAAGAGGAAATCACTGTCACAGAGAATGCTGTTATGTTCTGAAACTCTTTTTCAAGAATGAGAGAAAAATAAAGATGTTTTTTGGACAAACAAAGTGTCAGTTTACAACCAGGGCCCTTGCTAAAGGAAATTCTGAGAAATACATTTCAGGAAGAAGGGATATGATCCCAGCTAGAAGGTCAGAGATGCTAAGAGAGTGGACAAAGAAAGGCTGACCAGTGAGGACACTGTTTGATACGTTTGGTTTAAGGCATTAGGGCAAATGAACAAGACAGAATAGGCACACTGCATACGAGGTGGAAGGGATGTGGCCAGGGTGGATGGGGGTGTGCAGGAGGAGGGGAAAGGCAGGATCGCCGGGGACAGTGATGAGCTGAATGGACTTGTTAAATTCTGGGGTGACTCTAACAGAATAGAAACAGCGTTTATTGTAACTTCCACATTCATAGGGAAAGACAGAATGAAGGGACCCTGTCAATCAACACCACTGGAAGAAAAAGAGGAAGCAACGGAGAGAAGGGGGAAATGGGGGCCAGAGAGCCTCAGCAAGGGTCGTGCAGCCAGCTAGAGTCACCTCGAGGCTGGGTCAGACTCCCTGACTCCAAGCTCAGCACTTTCCGGCCCCAAACCAGCATCTCCCTCAGTCTAACGGGGGTTCCGAGAGCAGCCATCTAAACCCTGGCCGGCTTCCCAACTAGAGTGGAAACAGATCCCCAGATACAAAGAGCAGTAACCATCCCTATGACAAATACCAGCACAGTGACCTACAATATAAACACCCCTACGTGCCGTGATCGCCCGAATCTCACAGTGACTCTGTCCTGGGGCTGGTGACGTGCTCCTTCTGTAGACACGGCCCCCCAGCACGGGGAGCTCCCCTTCCCATGTCACCCGGACACGCAGCGGGGAAGTGGCAGTGCTGGCTGGCGCTCTCTGGGCCGCCTTGGTTCTCCCGGCTGGATGTTGGTCTGCGCTTCCCCACAGCTGCCAGGAGTCTCGTGGAAGTAGGCAGTGTCCTGGGATGATCCCAATGACAGCTGGATCCAGAACAATGCATAAAGCAGCCATAAAGGCTGCTTTGGGCTGCTTGGGGGAAGTTTGAATATGTTCTCGGTATTAGATTATATTATTGTAGCGCTGTTTTGTGTGTTGATGTGATCACGCTGCTAGGGTTATGTAAGAGGGTGTCCTTGGGAGACAGATGCTTAAGGGTGTCGTGCAGAGACATCCTGATGTTGGTGAATTTACAGTGTTTCCAGGAATGAAGTCCACACGGAGCAGTGAAGCAGACCTGACAGAGTGAACCCTACGTAGGGGATAAGTGGGCACTTATGGTGGTATCAATAGCAAACCACCCACAAACTTAAAATGAGACCTATTTACAGTCTCTTGCCAGCCCATGGTATTGCCCAGAGCTGGGCTTGCTTGGGGTCTATCAGCATCTGGTAGGTGGGCTAAACCCCAGAGGTTTGGGGGACCCTTCCTTGTACAGCACAGCTCTCCTTCATGGGCCTCAACATCCTGGGCTGAGATGGCCTGGGAGGTCCCCGTGGCAGTGGCGGGGTCCAGGAGGGGAAAAGGCCAGGGGATGCAGTGTTTCTAAGCAGTGTCTTGCATGTGATATGCTGCTATCCCGTTGGCCAAAGCAGGGCACATGGCCGAGCCCAGCGTCAGTGCGGGGCACTGGAAGACAAGGGTCATGAATGCAATCACCCGGCCACACTGCATAAGTATCTTCTTTGAAAGATAAATATAAAATCTTTCAAAGCAGGGTTAGAGCAGTGACACAGTGATATGATACCACTGCACATCTACTGGAATGGCCAAAGCACAGGACACCAGCACTGGCCAGGATTAAGGCAACAAGAAATTTCCCTCTGCTGGCGGGGGTGGGGGGGTGGAGATGCAAAATGGAACAGTGCCTCGGCAGCTAGCAAGCAAGTTCTCATAAAATCAAATACTCTCTTCGCATAAATCCAGCCGTCGCACGCCTTGGGATTGGTCCAGATGGACTGAAATTGTATAACTGCACAAAAAGCCGCACATGGCTGTTTATAGCAAGTTCCTGCATGACTGTCAGAACTTTGAAAGGAACCAAGATGTCCTTCAGATGAGTGGATGTGCTGTGGTACATCCAGACAAAGGAATATTATTCAGCGCTAAAAATAAACCAGCCGGAGTCCTGAGGAGGAGACAGGGGAACCTCAGATGCATGTGACTACAGAAAAGAACCCAACCATTCTGAAAAGCCACAGGATGGAAACCGTAAGGTCAGGGGTGGTCCTGGGGCGGGAGGGGTGCACACGCAGAGCTGAGAGCATTTTAAAGGTAAAGTTACAAACGGATCGCCCTGTGTGGGCCAAGGAGCATGCGGAGTCTCAGTGCCTTCTTAATTTTCCTGTGAACCTAAAAGTTCCCCTTAAAAAAAATGTCTCAAAAAGGAAGTTAGAGGGACAAAGTCTTTTCTAAAAAGCCAACAGAATCATGTCGATCCTCCATGCATACGCGTACCAGAGCCTTCACTGCAGCTTAACGAGTAGTCAAAGCCCCAAATCACGATGTCCACTAACCACAGCCAGGAGACAGCTGTTGAGATCTATTCCTGCCGTGGAATACCACACAGCCACGAAGATGAGTGGTTGGTACACACAGCCCATGAGTGAGTCTTACTGATGATGGTGCGTGAAAGAAGGGGAAACCCAAACAGGTGCTCACTGTACGGCCCGGCAGCGGGAATTAAAGGACAGAGAGGACTGGGGGGAGGGGGACATGAGGGAAGGTTCCCGAGTGCTACACAAGCTCTACGTCTTGATCTCGGTGCTGGGTACACAGATGTGTGCATAGGAAAATTATCACACTTCAGATCTGTGCACCAAAATTACCAGCACATGTGTGCACTGACTACATTTGATTCCTTCCTTCCTTCTTCTCCTGCTTCCTTTCTTTCCACAGTGGCAATCTAAGCTAGGACCTTCGCACTGAGCTGCGGCCCCTTTAAAAACATATTTTTCAAACAGGGTCTTGCTAAGTTGCTGAATTGCCTGGGATGGGGTTAAACCTGTGGTCTCCCGCATCAGCCTCCTGGAAGGCAGGGATTCCAGGCATGTGCCATCACTCCTGCTTAAAAGTGAGTTTCTCGATACTCCCTGAAGAAGATCTAAATCTCTTCCATCCTCGGTACTGATAAAAAAAAATCTAAATCTCTTACAATTCAATTGAATTCAATTCAGTTCACTTCAATTGGGCGCATGTTTATTCTCTCTCTAACCTGTCAGAGATAGAAGGTAAGGCACCCTGCTTAGCATCTCTTCCTGCCGGGCCTGATAAACGTGTGCTGATCTGCGCGGAGAGCTTCGGGTCCCTGCGCATCCTCGCCCCGGGGGCCCCTCCCAGGCCCACTCTGGGACCGCGTTCCCCTCCTCCTCTTCCCCACGCCTCTCCTGCCCTTCACCGTTACACAGTTTACAGCCATTGTCAAACATAATGATTCTTACCCTGGAGAGAAATTGGGTTCCGTTTTATAGTTTATGGCCTCAAAAAGGACATTTTTTACCTTCCCACAGTCTGTAGTCAGTAGGAACAGGACGATAAATTTCAGCAAAGGCTCCCACTGAGATGGATGGTCCAGGCAGGGGACCACAGTGTTCCAAGCAGAGAACGAGAGAATAAACAAGTAGTTGTCTCCACTCTGCCCCCCCCACAGGGTCCCTGTCCCCACACAGGAGTCGCGGGCTGTGGCTCCAGGGCCCAGGGCCAGAGTGCCTGCCGTGCCCTTTCCCCAGCTCCCCGTTTTATTCAAAGACTTCTTGCCCCTGAGATGGCACAGACGCTTCTCAGGCACCTGCTGTCTGTCTGCTCTGTGCCTTGTCAAATGTCATCCCCAGCAGCTCTGTGACACACATGGGCACATCCTTCCATTTTTCCGACGAGAGGTCCCGGGCCTCTCCGTGGAGGTTAGCAGCAGCAGGTGAGGCCAAGCTGGAACCCAGTCAGTGCTCCTGACCATGCTTCCCTGAAGTTTGCAAGAAACTAGCTAAAGAAACAAAGGGGCCATCTTGGTGACTTTTCTCTCATTGCTAGGACAAAATACCTGACACCCAAAGTTAAGGAAGGAAAGGTTTATTGAGCTCACAGTCTGTGGAGGTTTCAGTCCATAATCAGCTGGCTCCAAGGCGGGGTGGCGTGGTGAGGGGCAACAGTTCAAGGCAGCAAAACACAGCAGAAGCACAAAAAACAACATGAGGAAAGGAGCCTCTTTTCCTGCCTTACACGGTATGCAGGCTACCCGCCCTAGGGCAGGCGCAGCACTCACATGACTGTGTCTCCATCTCGCACAGGCTGAGGGTGTTTACACAGTGCAGACCTGGCTCCCTGCTGAGTCACTTAAACTTCTAAACTTCTCAAGCTGACAGATGAATCAACCATTCCAACATCCCGGAGTGTAAACAGCCGTCCCAGAACTGTCCTCTGCACCCTAGGGACTGCTAGTTATTTAGTTAAGCTTCTAAACTCAAGCTGACACAATGTATCAACCATTACAGAAGCCTTGGGGCAGATGGCCGTGGGAGTGCCAGAGCCACTGCAGGACCAGCTGTGGCCACCTCCGAGTGCCCACTGGGGGCCGGACCTGGCGCTCTCCCAAGTCCGTCCCACAGGAAGAGCAGCCCCTGCTGTGGACCCTCTCTGTCTGTTGCTGTGTAACTTGGACAAGCACTGAGGGTTGGGAGAGCTTGCTGCCTGGAGGAGTCACACAGCAAAGGCACAGGCAGGACTAGAATCTAAGGGCCTGACCTGGAACCCAGGACCCTGCTGCCTATCTCACAGCTCGCTCCCAGCCGTCTCCCAAGTATTTCCTACCATTTCTGTCTAATACACTTGAGAGTGTGGGTCTCACCACTGGTTATTTAATAACGAGATCACAGAGTTGTAAAATCTGGGGCACTCGTGAAGTAAATCAGTCACAGAATTCCGGAGATGGTGCGATTTCCATATATATGAAATATCCAGAACAGGAAATCCACAGAGACAGAAAGTAGATTAGTGACTGCGCGGAGCCGAGACAGGGCTCAGGCAGGACGGGGAAGGACTCCTTGGAGAAGGTGAGAAAAGCCAGAACTGCCCACAGCGATGCTGCACAGCTGTGAACATCTGAAAACCACCAAACTGTGCGTGTTAGGCGGTATGTAAATTGTATCTCAATCAAGCTATTGAAAAGAAATCACTAGACTCTCTGCCCATTTCCCTGCCTGTAAACTAGAGATCATGTGGCTGCCCTTGACACGGTGAGAAACAGAATTTGTTATTTTATTCTCACTAATTTATACTTAGTGGAAATTAAACTGCTGACTAAACACCACCTAGGTGCATGGGCGAGGACTGGGGAACAAATGCAGGGCAGAGCTCCAAAGGGACTACAGGGGAGAGAGCAGAGTAACACTGTGACAGACAGTCTGGCACCTGCTCCTTTGGGGAACAAACACATCCAAACCGTAGCAGATGCAGTGGGGGATGCTGATGCGGGTGGTGCGAAAATTTGAACAGAGAAGGCAGGAGTGAGCCATGCAGCTACCTAGAGGAAGAGCAGAGGGCGCAGCAGGTGCAAAGGCCCTGAGGTAGGACACATTTGTTGGATTTAATGAACAGCTGAGAGCCCAGGGAAGCAGGAGAGCAGAAGGTGGTGGCTCCAACACATCCTGGGCAGACACCGACCTGGTAAGAAGTAGCTGGAGTCTGTTATCTCTTTTTTTTTTTTTTTTTTGGAGTCTGTTAGCTCTTGAATCAGAGCTGACAGGATTTCTCAGGAGAGGCCACAGCAGGCAGTCATCCAAGCAACAAGTTCGAGGTTTTGGGGCTGAGCACCTTGGAAGTGGGGACGCTGTCTGCTGAGCTAACAGAGGCTGGGGTGACACAAAGGCGCTACTGAGTTTGGAGCTGTTCTGCTTGGAGAGCTGACTGGGGACCTTTGACAGGAAGCCCAGGATGCTGGGGAGCCCAGGCCTGGGCAGTGGAGGCACTCTGAGCACAAAATGTGGGGATAGCATCTATCTGTCCCCGTCAGGAGGAGGTGTCTGGCTGTGCTCAGAAGGCAGAGACAGATGACAACCACATGAAGCTCAGCAAGGGGCCCCTGTGAAGCTCCTGAGTAATCCCCAAAGGTGGCACTGGGGACAGAGGCCGCCACTGGGCACACAAACAGGCACAAAGCCCTCTGAGCAGGTGGCGCCATGGCTGGTGGCATCCATGTCTTGGCTGTCAGCAGGGAGCCATGTGGCTCTCCCAGGATGCCCAGGAGACCGCCGGCGGTGTCCCGAGCTGGCCTGGAGAAGGCGCTGGAGTCCTCAGGATGAGGAGAGGTGGGGAGGTGGGGAGCGGCCCGAGGAAAACAGTCACAGCCCTGGACCATCCATCGCAGTCACCCCTTGGCTCTGTCCCCCCACCACCACCCAGGGACACCTCAGCACCGCCCTCCCGGCTCCAAGGCCCTTCACTGCCACGCATGCTGTCACTGGTCCTGCTAGGTTCTGGTCACTGCAGTCCCTGGGGTGGAAGCTGTACCCCAGAAGGATCACAGGCCTGTGATGCTTTTAAGAGAAGAAATATGACCTGGCAGATTAGAGGCGTCCCCCTCACTACCATGGCCAATTAGAAAAAGAGAAATTAAGTCACAAAGCCTGGGTGGCCTCTAATCAGCGGGGCCAAGAGCAGGTGTTCGGCCAGCCTTACACTGGAGGAGCGGAGCCAGGGCTCTCCTGACTCAGGTACTTCATGGGCACCTCTGGGCTACCAAGTCCCAAGTACCCTCCTGTCCTGCCCCCAAGTCCAGCCCTCCCATCAGGACAGGTGGCCCTCACGGGAGGAAGCGGGGTGAGAAAAATCATTTAGCCAAGCCAGCCTGTCCACTGGGACAGGGCATGTGGGGTTGGAGAAGGGACTGATGGGTTTGCCCGTGTGAAGCCCTGCCAGGCTCAGCATGGCGCCTGCCCAACTTGGCATGGACCCTGGAGGGACAGACAGCGAGTCCCTCCCCATGTTGACTTCCACGTTCTTTCAGACCAAAATTGAACGTCCCGATTTTGCGCATGCGCCAACATCCCCCAATCAGCTGTCAATACGTCATTCTTCCCGCCCCTTCCAACTCCTCCCCCTGTCAAACCTAACAAAAGCCCTCAGTTTCTCTGCCTGCCTCGGAGGGAAGTTGCACTCTTCTGCAGCCCTCCGGTGCCTGCAGTAAGGGCCTTTGTCCTTTTTTACCAGAAAGGAAGGTGCCTCTCCCTGTCCCTATTCACAGCCCTTGGCCCTAGACAGGGCATGTCACCTTCAGAGGCAGCAGGAGTGACCTCTGACACATAAAACAGGCAGGTACACCGTCGTTAGGAAAGGCAGGGAAGACGGGACAGGTGTCTACTGCATCCAGGCAGCAAGGCTTGGGGGCTGGATCTACCCACCATGCTCTGTCCTCTGTGCTCCATGCAGCGTGTCCGGAGGAAGAGGGACACTGAGGCTGGCTACATGAGCACCCTGGTGGCCTAGGAGAGAGGGGCAGCCTGTGGTGGGCAGATGGATACAGCAGGCTCTGCTCTGTCCAGTGCCAGCCACACCGCAGCGCGTGACTAGCAATTCTGCTGTCACACCTTCTGGTGACCTCACTCCAGGTGTCCTGGGAGGTGGATGGGCAGGAGTCAGGGTCCTCAGATACGCTGTTTCCTCACTGTAGTCAATCACTTGACCAATTTAATTTACACAGCCTAGCACTCAAGCCAGCACCAGGCCCCATGATCTAGTGACTCACACCCACAAGTGTTTGTGTCCTACACATCAAAGTCCGGATGTAGCCCTCAGAGGGCTGGTAAGATCTTCCTACCAGGTCTTCAGGGACCCACGCTTCTTCCTGTTTCTGTTCCACCATCCTGGAAGTCACCTCTTAGCTTAAGAAGGTTGCTGATGCTCCATCTATTGCAGCTACAATCTAGGCAGCAGGAAGAAGGAAGGGAAAGAGGAGAGACAAAAATGAATGGCCATGCTCTTTAAAAAAGGTTTTCTGGAAGTTCATATGACACTTATGCAGACACTTCAGCAGCCAGAACTTAGTCACAGTAAGTTCCCATGAGAGCTTTGATTGGGCTGAGGACAGTTCTGGAACAGGCGAGCTTGGACAGAGGATAGCAGGTCCCGGCCCTGGAGCCCTCCGTGACTCTGGCTCACATCACCAGCTGTGAGTGAACGGCCAGGCTTTGAGCCCAGCCTGCCAGTCTCTGTATCTTGTGCCCTTTGTGGTTATACCACACTATTTCACATCTCACCAGCCGTGTGATCCTGGTAAAGTCCTCTGAGCCTCAGATCCTATATCCATAAAGTGTGCAAAATATTAGCAGCCACCTCAAGGGACTGGATATGGAGCAAGACAGATTATTCATGGAAACAGGTCAAGATTGCTTGTGAAACAGATCAAGAAATAAGGACCTGAATCTGCTTAACATGCGTCAAACTCACAAGAGAGGTGCTGGGCTCCACCGCTGTCCTCAGTGTTATCACAGACCCTTCCCAATGGAAGAGTCCATCTTGCAGTAAGTGAGGGGTCCCTGGGGTCCCTGGAAAAATCCACCCTACAGAACAGTGAGCGGAACTCTTTCCAAAGTTCTCATCTCCGAGACGCCCATGGGCCACCTGGTGCTTTTCCTCAGCAAGATACTCAGTGCGGGTCTGTCTGGGCTCCGTCCTCATCTCCAGGCTCTGTCCCATTGTCCCTGGCCTCACCATTGTCAGCTGGTCCAGACGGAGGCAGACTGCAGAAGGAGGTTGCCCATTGCCATGGAAACCAGGGCTGGAACCCAGCACCCTGCAGCTCCTGGGATGGGGAATGTGCTGCCTCTAAGTCCTAAGCCCCTAAATGTCGTGCACATGCATGTGCACATGCATGTGCGCACACACACACACACACACACACACACACACACACACACTCCTAGCAATCCGCCAGCTAATTTACTGGGACCAGTAAGCGAAAGGCTAGTTCTCTGATCGGAGACACTTGTTCTGCAGTCAAAGACCACAAAAGAAAGGGTCGATCCAAAGGGGCCAGGATAGGTCACCGAGGATGGCCCTTGACTGTCACACCCCTGAAGCCGCCCGCTTGGACCAGCACATAGCCGTGTATAGAAGCCACATCCCGGCAGGAGCTCCGGTGTTCCAGGAGACAAAACTCTCAGCACAAGAAAGTGACCCAGACAAGTTCTTCCGCAGATGCAGTGAAGATGACTTACTACTTACAGGAAAGAAAAAAAGAAAAGATAACTTTGCAAGGGAGAAATACAGCACACAGCGCCTTAACCACCTGATCAAATGTAAGGTCACCAAAAATAAGACAAACCGGCACTGCAGGCCTCTTTCCTTAATGCAATAACCTAGACACGGCACCCTACTTGGCATTCCCACTAGAAACTTCAACTGAATGGAACCGCAGGAAACAATCAGATGTATTCAGGTTGTGGGGCATTTTACAAGATGTCTGATATGGACTCTTCAAAGTGTCAATTACAAGAAAGACCAAAAGGCAAGATTAAAGAAAGCTAAAGGACCGTGATAATTAAATGCAAAGCGCTCGAGCCTAAGTGGATCTGCAAGGGGATAAAACAGCTACACCAGAGGGTTCTGGAACAATTGGAGAAATCTGAATACGAACCGCACAACAGATACCGTTATCAGATCTGTGTTCGAGTCCTTGAGTCTGATAATTACTTCTTTGTGCTTATGTGGGAGACAGACAGTCCTTCTGCGCGGGGATCCGCGCTGATGATTTGGGAGCCCGGAGTCTGATAGCTGCAACCTACTTTCAAACGATCAGAAGAAAGAAAAGAGAGAAACTGAAAGGCACCCGCGCCAGCAGTGGGTAAATCTGTGTGAAGGACGGACAGACATACAAGGGACTGTGCTTTCAACTTTTCTATAGGTTTGAAATGTTCAAAATCTCAAACACTTGGAAGAAAAGATTCTTCAAAGAGGACTCAAACGATTCCAGATCTTTCCCAATGTTTCTGGGTATTTCTGCAGCCAGGGATGGCTGGGGGTGGGGTCTCTCCCACCCTCTCCCACCTGGGCAGGCATACTTGGTCTTTGGGCATAGGAGATGGGGTGTGGCGTACCGTGCCACGTCCCCTTCCCAGGCTCCACCAGGAGAGGGAGGCCCTCCCCTGGCACCTAATGGTGGGGAGCAAGTGTAGTGCAGGTTTGGGGTGCAGGTAGTTCCAGTCGGCCTGGGATTCTTTGGCTTGATTCAGACGGAAACCATAAATCGGCAAAGTATAACTCTACCTACAATCCTGACCTCACCGAATGACACTGGGCAGTGCTGGGTGCCACCGGGTAAGGCTGGATGCCAGCTGCCGCTGTCATGCCGGACACTAGGTCAGCTCCACTGGATGCTGGACACTGTAAGTCAACTCTACCAGGTGCTGGGCTCTGGAGCTTTTCGGTGCTAACCGCTCTGAATATTTATAGAGCTTTCCTTTGAGAATCACTCTATCCACACTACTCATGCCAGAAACCCCGAGTAGATTTACAGGAGTTCAGTTCGGAGCAGTGGCCGATGTGGGGGAGGGGCAGGCTGGCCACCAGCCAAGCCACACCCCCTCGGCTGGCCCTGGAGGAAAGAGCCAAGAGCCCGGGTCTGCAGGAGGCTGACGCTTCAGAAAACTGAGGATTTGGCTCCTCTGCTGGAAATGTCCCTTGGTGTCATGACACTCGCACTTATGGGCCGCCTCACGCAGCACAGCTGTTTTTTCCTTCGGTCTCCTTCTCCCTCCTCTCCTCCTGTTCCCTTGCTCTCTGCTCTGCCCTGTAAAGACACTACGTTCGAAGGCACCAGCCCCGGTGGGCTAAATAGCAAAGGCACCTCCACAAGGTTGGCACCCAGGTTGCTCCTGTAAACCCACCTCCCACAATCTGCACTTGACTCCTTGAGGAGTCCTGCGACCCTCCCTCACTCCGGGTCAGTGGCAGTCATGGTACACACCGTGCTGAGGGTTGGCACCAGCCCCAAGGGGGAGGCTCTGGAATTTGAGACTGGAGGTGGCCAATGAACCAGCCCAGGATCCACAGCAAGGAAGTGGAGAGGGTTCCTGTCTGGGTCTTTTTAGATGCTTTTCAACTTGGCCACAAAGGGGGGCTGGGGATGAAGCTCAGTGGCACAGGGCCTACCTGGCAAATGTGAGGCCCTGAGTTTGATCCCTGGTACCAAAGAAAGACAGACCCAACTTGGCCAAAAAATGTTCCATACCCAGAGATCATGAGACTTCCCAAGGCCACACAGCTGCTCAGAGGGACAGTGAGGCTGGACCACAGGACACCCTGTTCTAGGCCTTGGCTCTGTCCTGCTGGCCCATGTGGGGACCTTCCATCCTGCAGGGGGAGGAAGGCCGTGAAGGACAATTGGAAGAGAGGCTGAAGCAGTCTCAAATCTGGGGGAGCCCGGAGCAGGAGCTGGCAAGGAAAGTGCAGGTGGCCTGGGCTGTCCGAGCCGTACCCCGATAGTGCCTTTACGGCACTTTGGGCAGAACAAGCAAATGACACAGGACAGGACTCATGAGACTGTGACACTAGGAAACCAGTACAAGTTGGAGAAGGTCCACGATCACACATCAGCTCAGTGGCCCCCACCCCAACACCAATACAGGGCAGGAAGACGTGGGGTGCCCCCCAATCCAGGATGGCCTGATGCTCAGCCTGGCCCCGCAGGTTTAGCTACCTCTGCATCCTCCTGGCTCCAAGCAAGCCGGGCGACTCTGGGGAAATAATCTGGGAAAGAAACGGGGAATTTAATCAAAAGTAGCAACAACAAACTGCACGCTGGAAACCGAGAGGCGCCCGGGTGGCCGGGAGTGGAGGAGGACCTAAGAGGAGCAGAGGCCTGGGAGAGTGGGGAGAGGAGGAAAGGGCAGAGGGGCAGGGGAGGAGGAGAGGCTGGGCACAGGCCACCAAAGGGGCGGACAGAAGGGCCCCAGCAACTGGGAGATGCGCCATCTAGGCCGAGGGAGATTTCTTTGGAAATATCAGTGAAGGTTCCTTCTGCCTGGAGTCACCTGAGTCATGTGGGAGGAGACGGTGGAAACGGGGGTACAGAGAGACACACACAGAGGTGAGAGCTGAATATGCTTTCCTGGGTCCACCAATTAATGCGCCACTCCCAGAGGAGGCGCCCTAAGTAAAGCTCAGCGGGGTTGGCTTCTCTGCCCAGTCACACAGTCCACGAGCCATGAGGTCACCTCCCCGCAGAATACTGAACTAACGAACGTGGGTCCATCTGGAATTTCACAGAATTGGATCCCTTCAATGGCACCTAGCAAGCTCAGTGAAGGGAGTGACCAGGAGTTTCTGAGGCCACATACTGGCTCCAACTGCCAGGGCAGGAGAGCCCAAGAGGCAGACAGGCCCAGGGATGGATGGTGGGATGGAGGCGGGGAGGGGCTGGGGCCCCAGGACCCCACTCGGAGACCTCCTACCTGTCTTCCTCATCAGACCCCGGAACTGGACTTGGGGCAACATCCTCTTCCGGGAAGGAGACAGCATGTCACAGACGGATCAAGAAGAGGACCCAGAGCCATCCCACCCTTCTCTGGGGGCTCCCAGAGCACCCCGGGCCTCCTCTGGGTCACACAGACTTGAGTTTGTGCCTGCTTCTGCTGCCTCCTCTGTCACTTTCCCGTCACTCACCCTCTCTGAACCTCAGTTTCCCCTTGCATAAGAAGATGATTATGGCAGTAGTGACCTCGTATTGCTCCTGTGAGCACCCAGGAGGAAGATGGAAATGGGGGGACGCCCATTGCCACCCCCTTCCGTATGTCACCATACTGATCCACACTAGATGTGCTAGAGGGGAGCCCCATAAATGAAGCCAGGGGCGGTTCCTTTTATGAACAAAACAAGCTTCGCTGATGTACCGCTCTGTGGTCTGGAAGCTAGGAGGGGAGCGGAGGTCTACAGTCACCCCTGAATTTCCCGTCCCCGTGCTTGGACTGCACTGTCCATCTGTGGCCCCCACACTTCCTCCCCACCCACCTAAATTCCACGCTCATTCCCAGTCCACACAAGAGGATGCAGAAGGTCAACAGCCCTGGAGCTACCCATGGACCTCTTTGGTCTGGGTCCCGAGGTGACCACCAGGACTCAGCCTCACGCAATTCCAGCGGCCAGTGTGATGCGTAAGTTTTTACGCCAACGTGCCCGGGGCAGAGCTGCCCTCTGCTGGACCTGGACAACCTTGGGTTCCGAGACTCCAGAGCGGGACTGGAGCTGCACCACGGGTTTCCCTGCCTCCCCCTGCAAAGGGCAGCGTGTGGGATTTCTCAGCTCCCACTCCTTGTAATGAATTTCTGTGTCTGCGTACGTGCTTTTGGTTCTGTTTCTCTGAACAACCCTGCTACTCGAGTGACCAGCAAAACAAGCCCTCTCTGAGGCTGGCTTCGAGGGAACAAAGACCTACACGCAGGAGGTTGATTAGGGGGAAAGTCCCATCACAGCAGCAACGCCAGCGGGGTCTGGGAAGCAGGGTCAGGCAGGGCGGAGGCTGAACACAAGGGGCTGGGGCAGTTGAGCTGAATATACCTGCAGGTCTGTGGCCTGGGCAAGATTGAATTGAGAACGAAGAACACCTCAGGGGGCAAGATGGGCCACAGCTGGGGCCACCGGGAGACGTTCTGGATAGTTTTCCTTAGTTAGCATCGTCTGTTGCTCTGAGGGGTCCCTGAGCCCCTCCCGAGGTCCCGCTCAGGTCTCCGCCATTGTCCACTCAGCTCCTGGCTTGTTCTGGGTAAATACGGGCCGCCCAGCGTCAGTCAGCTGGCGGCTGGCAGAGTTCCGGACTCTGCCGAGGACTTCACTCCTCCTGCAGCCCTGAAGACCCTGCCGCGGGTCTCATCCCTTTGAGCCTTTGCTGTGTACCTGTTTGGGAGCCTGGGGGTCTAGGTGCAGACCCCAACAACAAGGCACCTGCAAGAGAGGCCTCCACCTATCACACAGGGAGACCTGGAGCTAAGTGGCCTTTCGGGTCCATCTGGAGTCCAGGCAGAGGAGCTGGAAGCTTGCACCCCATGCTGATGGGTCCCCAGGTCAGGGTGCCCTTGTTGTAAGGCAAGACAACTCCCTCTGGCAGACAGACGCTGTGGGGAAGGAACTTAGATGGAGTTATCCACAGCCAGCACTCTTAGCAGCTTGGGGACAAGCATCTTGGACCCCTGGGAATGGGTGACTGCAGTTCCCACAGTGTCCACCCTGATCCCTCTGGGATTTGCGGCATCAGAGCCAGCCCTTCGGGATTCTGGCTGATCTCTTGCCCTCTAAAACCTTAAAAAGGAGACAGCAGGGGACTTGAATCCCAGCTCCTTGATGCTGTCTTTTGTCCCAAGACTGGTGCCCTTGTGTCCTCCTCTATTGCCCCCAGGACACTCCCCTTGACCCCAGCTGGTCTAGCAGCTTTACTTAGTGGGACCCCTGAGACCCTCATCCCTAGTGGTCCTGGGCCCCATGCTGCTCAGCCCCGGCTGCTGCTCTTACCTATTTACTGTCAAAAACAAGAAAACCCCAAGTGACTCCCTCCCTCACGGGTCACAAGGACACTAAAACTGGCCTCTCCCCCGCCCTCACTGTGTAATTACAACCCTCTCTCTCCTGCCAGCCAGCCAGGACAGGATCGCTGCCAACGTGGCGATTCCCTTCTGGCCTGCCGGTTGTTGGGTCCCAGGCATCTGAAGTGACCAGGTGGCACTGCAGGCTGACTTTCAAGGGGCCTTCTACTCTGTGCCCTGGTGAAAGTGTTTCCAATCTGGGGAGCAGGGCAGAGCTTAGACATGAGGAGCTTACTGTCTCAGGGACAGGAACAAGGTTCCTGAGGGATCCCCGAGAGTGACAGGTGCCACACCCATGTATCTGCCTCCTGAGGACAAAGCATCATACAGGTCATGAGTTTGGGTGAGTGTCTCGGGGACCAAGTGAGAGTCATGTCCTGGAGGCTGGCAGTCTATGCTCACAGGGTGTCACCTCCAAGCTGTCCCCATTGGGCTGAACCCAGGCTCCAGCTCCATCAAGGCCCAGAAGGCCTCCAAAGCTGTTTTCCACACTGTGCATAATTTTCCGCTCCAGATGGCCTGGCCTTATTCCAGAACTCCAGGGATCTAACTTGTTACTCTCTGCTCAGGGCTTGCCATAAACTCACACTGTCTGTTCCCGCCACAGAGCCGTCTGTCAATCTGAGCTGGCTGGGTCACGTGACCCCAGTCGCCAGACTGTTGGTCCCACAGCCTGGGGCGGCTGCCGAGCTCTCCCCTGCTTTGGGCATGTCACTCGGGAAAATGTCTTGCAGTCGCATTTGTCAAGTGTGGAAAATATTGCCTGAAAAACCCTCAAGAGAGACTCACAGACGCTGTGCTTCCTTCCGCCTCCTGGGAGGTTCAATGCAAGAATTCATCTTGTCCTCTGAGAGAGGGGCCCCCAACATGCCTATGACCACTGCGCCCCTAGAACGTCACTGCTGTTTGGTCCCGGCCCCTGAAGCACGTCTTCCTCAGGGAGGCCTCCAAGTGCTGGTCTCTTCTCATCCGTCGATGAATATGAAGGTGCAGATGAGCTGGACCAGCGCGATGCTCCGTGGGACACAAGATGGTCCAGCCCGCTTCAGTCTAGGGCTTCTCAACCTTGGCAGAGATGCTTCAGGCCACACAGCAGCCATGGCTGAAACCCCTGCTAAGCAGCAATCAAACATCTACTCTCGGCTTCCAGACATCAGCCGATGCTTTTTTTTTGGGGGGGGGGGGAGTAAGGATCAAACTAGCAAACAAGAAGGCAAAGACAACTATCCATGCCTCGTGGGTATCTAAAGTTTGACCCTGAGGCTGGGGCTATAGCACCGTGGTAGAGCACTTGCCCGGTATGTGCCAGGCCCTGGGTTTAATCCTCAGCACCACCCATATGAGATAAATAAAGGGGATTCTAATTTCTGCTGCCATCTCTCTGTTATGTGACGTTGGAAGGTTGGTTGACTGTGCTTTGCACTTGATGGGGATGGGAGACCGTATCAGGGACTTCCACCAGGAAATGGAATGTGCTCGTGGGCTCAGGATCCACGGTGGTCCGAGCCTGGCCAGATTCTGTTTATTTCCCGACTCCCATCGGCTTCTGGTGTAATGGAAGTCATGAGGACGCTGCAGGTCTTTATGTATGAATGTCGTCTTAGACCCTGTGTCCCTCAGTCTTAGAAACGTTCTCCTTTCGCTGGGCACCTGGCTGCAGGTCCCTTTGCAGGAGGCCAGGGTCACTGTTCCCACACAGACTCGCCACGGGTTACGGGCTCCTTCTTGGGGAATCCAGCCTTGCCTTCTGGCTCCGAGCTCTAGCTCCAAAGGGACCACAGCCTTTTCCTGGGGCAGCTGATACGACCTTCTAATCGCCCATCTTTGACTTCTCCCACCCATGTAAAGGACACACTACTCTTTGTCAGCTATCTACCTGCCCCTGGGAACACCACGTGACCGTTTCTAGAGCTTTCTGTAGGCTCCCTGCTTGTCGCTCTGACCCTTCCGCTCCTTACAGTAATTTTTGCCACCTTGCTAATAGAGTTTAAATTCCCCTACCGGGCTCTCTTATCTCAGGACCACGTCTGTCTTATTGCTACCGTGGAGACGGTGCTACCACAGCATCTCCTCCCGTCAGGCCTTGCTTATGGAACACGGCCCTCCGCAGGCTTTTCATCCGGGCTGCCACTTACATATTCCCCCAGCCCTTCCCTGGAGCTCAGTTAAGCAGGCCGATATCTGGCTTTTTATATTATATCCATCATGGTGTACCTGTTTCTCTGAGCCCTTTGATTCCTCCCTCCACCATCTGCCACCCCAGTTCTGGCACTTTGAGTTCATTTGAGATGAGCCCTGAATTTTTCCAAGCTTCCCAAAGGCCGCCCTGACAGCCAGTGGGCACCACCTCCCGGGGCCCTCCAGGGTGTTGAACCCCTGTGTCCTGGAGGATGCGCCCTCGATGATGAACCGCCCCGCCCAGCTTCTGTTGCCTTTGATCCCCATCCTTGTGAGCTGGTCCCATGCACACCCTTTTACTCTCTGCCCAGAGTGGTGGCTGGGTCCTGAAGCCTCTAAGGCATAGCATGTTCCTTTCTTCCCTTGACAAAGCTGGATCGTGTTGTGACAACTTTAGTGGCTGCTGGTGAGGACAGAACTGGAGGTCAAGGTACCGGCTGAGATGGGCTCATGCTCTCTTGCAAGTCAGGGGCTCCTGCATCACCAAGCAGGCAGAAGCACTTGCCTGTAATGGGAGTGGACCATGACTGCAGCCCCAGAGGGTTTAGGACAGTGTAGGGCTGCGAGGTTCTCAAATGCATCAGCTCAGATGTCACTGACATGTCGAATGGCAGCGTCCCACCCTTACCCAAAGGCTCTGACCTTGGAGGAGCAGACTCGCCAGAATCAGGAATCCAACTTCTCTGTAACTCCGCTTATAATTAAGTTCTGGGCCTGAGCCTCAGTTTTTTCTGTCTTCAAGCCACAAGAGACGAGAGTCTCTTGATACGCACTGCCAAGGAGGCCATCTGGATTTCACACTTCACTTAAATTGTGATTAATCGCCCTCAGCATTTCAGCCCTTCTGCAGGGCATCGGTGGCCCCCAGTGATCACTGTCTGACTCTGCAGTCCTTAATGACTGTGTCTCCAAGTCTCTCAAACATGATATCAGCCAGCGTAAGCCCTTCTGCATCCTCCAGCCCAAATCACTCCCTAGGGACAGCATGAACACCCGCACAGCGTGTATTGGTCGTTTTCCTATGGCTGGAACACAGTCATTAACACCTCCAGCTTAAAGGAAGAGAGGTTTAATTTGCTCCTGGTTTCAGGTGATACAGTCCCTGGTCAGCTGCTCCAGCGCAGAGAGAGGCATGGCAGCAGGGCATGGTGGGGCAAAGACAATCAGGTCACAATAGGCACAGAGCAGGACAGGGGAACAGTGCCAGGGACTGGACACAGACCCCAAAACCACACCTCCAAGATATACCAGCTGTGTACGACTGTAGTTCAAAACAACACCCAGATTTCCCTCTGAAGGCAAACCTGGGTACCGTGAGCCATGAACCCTCCAAGCTCAGCCTCCAGGACTGCATCTGTTAAATGGGATTTTGAAACAGACAAGAAGGGCTAGTTTAGGAATTTTCCGGGGTGATGTGGGAGTCTGAGTCACACAGAAGGACTCCAGATAGGTGGGAAGAAGACAAGATTTTAAAAATTGTAGCTTTGAGAAAATTGTAGCTTCGAGACATAATCAGACACTCAAGGTCACTGTGCCTCCTTTACCACAAAGCCTATGCTTTTTCTCTAGGCTCCTAAATTCCTAAGTCTTGAAGGTAGAAAAAGTCCATAGACTTGGGCTTTTTCTTCTGATCCTGGCAATCCACAAATCCCACCTTCAAAGCAACAGCACTAGTAATTGGCTCTGTCCCCCTAAACTTCAAACAAAGGCCAGCAGTTCAGGTTTTAACCTGGTTGACAAAGTCAGTTTTTAGCACTAATGGGTAACTTGACAGATGCTAATTAAATAACAAATAACCCAAAGCATAAGCATCCTGGATCATCTGTCTTGAAAACACCCCAAAAAGACATGAGTGGCCCTAGCCCCAGGCTGCAAAACACCTCAGGACTCGAGCACCTGTGTTCTTTGTCTCTCACTGGTGCATCCTAAAGGATTCTATGTCAGGATAGGCAAGAACTCCCCTGGGAGGGACCAGCATGTAGCTCACCAGCACAACGCCTGCCTGGCAAGCACACAGTCCTGGGTTTGATTCCTGACATTAAAAAAAAAACAAAGAACCCACCTTGGGTGAGTTGAGGTTCTGTTATGGTTTAGATCTAAAGTTCCCCCAAATTCTCACGTTTGCAGGTGGAGCCTGTGGGAAGGGGCGGGTCACTGGGGCTGTGACCTGGACGCTATGTTCTTGTCCCTGGCTCCTCCCTTCACATTCTGCTTCCCGGCTGACATACAGGGAGCTGTTTCCCTCACCAGCCCCCTCTCCCCTCCTGTTCCTGCCTTGGAGCCAGCTGACCACAAACTGCAACCATGAATCAAAACAAGCCTCTTCCTTTAAACTGTGGCTGTTGGGTGCTTTGTCCCAGAGAAAGTGACTTCTCTCTAAGGGGACCTACAGCCCCTGCAGTGACAAGGGCTCTTTCACTTGCCAGTGGTTTAGAAACGGAACTCTGTCTTCTCTCTCTCTCCACGGGCCAGCAGGTTCACCTCGGCCCACGCTGAGGACAGCAGGAGTGACCAGGACATCAGAGCAGGCTCCTCCTTGCCCAGTGGGAGCTTGGCTCCTAGCCCCACCGATCTGTTTCCACATCTGGCTTCTCTCGCTGACCCCTAGAGGGATGGGCAGAAGGGCAACTTCCGTGGTTCCTCCTGGGTCAGGGCACTGAGCCTGGCGGCCTCTGAAGATGACACCTGCCTGTGTAATTACCAGCATCCTTGAGAGCCAGTGCAGTCTGGAGTATGACATGACCAAATCACGGGGAATCCACCGCGGGAAGCCCGAGGGAGGGAGGCTGTGGCTGCCGGGTTCTGAGGCAGTCCCCATGAGCTGGCAATGGAGGTGCCAGGAGTCAGAAGCATCCAGCCGAGAAGGGTTAAACTCTGACTCTGCCAGCTACAGGCCTTGAGCAAGGTGGAGGGGCTTGTTTTGGTTCAGGGTTGCTGTCCATGCTGGGCTGGCTCCAAGGCAGAGCAGAGGGGGCTGGGGGGTGGGGGGAGGTAGAAGGGAGGGGAAACTCCTCTGGGCTTTGCTTACCCATCTGCAAAATGGGAATGATGCCGATGTGAGAGAGCCAGAAGGCACATGGGGACCACATGGACCAGCGCACAGGGTGTGGCTGCCCAGTGACGTGGTGGTTACTCACTAAGTCATTGCCACGAATAAGAGCAGCAGAGGCCAGGGACAGGCTATCGCCTCCATCCCAGAACTCCTGGGGCTTCTTCTGAGCCTCTGCACCCTGCAGCGTGACAGGTGCTCCCACAGTCTCTGATCAGTGAGCATGGAATCCCTGCCGAGTGGGCGGGGCCTGGCCACACTCTGGAGGAACCCCTCCAAGACCCCTGCCCTGCCCTCGGGTGGCTGCGGGTCTAGTATGCACTCCGGATTGTCAGCCACCTAAGGGGACAGGACAGAGGTGCACAGACGGACATGTGCAATTCTCCCTCAGGCCATTCTGAGTTCCGGCTTTTGTCTGGAGAGCAAATGGAGCAGGACCAAGCAATGGCTGAAATCTGCTGGCTCAGGTGACCCAGCAGATGCCGCTGACCCCTGTCCAGCGCTGCTTCACTTCCTACAAGGCACACAGGAAGGGAAGGGCTTGTGGACATGGTTGCCCAAGGAGATGGCAAGACTGGGGGAGCCCAGGGACCATCGCTCCCCACAGCCCTGCCCCCCACAGCCTTTGGCATCTTCCTTGGGGGGACAGAAGGAGCCTGTGGGGACCAAAGCGGCTGCCTGTGCCTCTGTTCCAGAAATACCAAAATGCCGAAGCTCCCTCGCACTCTTGATGGAGCAGGCTGAGTTCAAGTCACCATCCACTCTTCCTCCAGTGTGGTCTTTGGCTTCCAAGCCTCAGTTTCCTCTTCTGTAAAATGGTCTCCAGGAAAGGTGGCCATACCTATTCAGGTGGGGATGAAGATTAACCAGGATAAGACTGGCTATAGACAAGCGGATCTGTAAGTGACAGCAGTTATTAAACACCCTGGTGGGGGGACGCCCACCTTCTGTACAGCCTTTCTTCACACCCGGGACACAGCATTCATCACCCGGTACACCTGTCCCCCTGAGACTGTGTGGAGAACCAGGCAGGGTGCTGCTATGGTGTGCCCCCAAATTTCACAGCTCAGGAACATAACCCCTGAACTCATCTACTGATGGTACTGGGAGAGGACTTCTGGGGATCCTCAAGGTCAGACGGGATCAAGAGGGTGGGGCCCCCAGAATGGGATTCATGGCTGTAAAAACTGGGGAGACCTCAGCTGGCCTCCTCCCCTCCCCACCTTCTGGCCCTGAGACACCCTCGCCACCTTCTGATCGGCACATATGATATCGGACGTCCCAGCCTCCAGAATTGCCAGAAATAAATCTCATTTTTTAATTTTTAGCACAGTCCTGGAAATTGAATCTTGGGCCTTCACACTGAGCTACATCCCACCTTTTATTCTGAGACATGGATGAGTCTCTGGCTTCGCCCCTGAGCCCCGCCTCACTCATCAGATGGACGGGCCAGCCTGGGCCGGGCCATCGCCGCTGCTCCTCCTCCACCGCGTCTTTTTTCCTCCGCTCCCCGTCGCACCCCAGCCCTTCGCAAGGCTCTCTGTTTCATCTTTCAGAGCCGCCAGCTGTCCGCCTGGCTTTGTAAATCTAGCAAATCAAAAGAAACCAACATTTTAATAACATGAGGGGAAAAATAGCTTCAAAGAGTAGAAGTGACTAAACCCAGGCACACAACAAATTAATACGGGAACAGTGATCCCAAGAATCAGAAGCGGGACTCAGCCCAAGCGCCTATCAGTAGATAAATGAGTAAACCAAGTGTGAGGTCTAACGGGAAGTGCTGGTGCAGGCCTATAATCCAGTCTTCTGGGAGGCTGAGGCTGGAGGGTCACAATTTGGAGCCCAGCCTGGGTAATTTAACTACTTAGTAATACCTTCTTGACCTCAAAATAGACATTAAATTAAAAAAATCAGGGATCCAGTCCAGTGTAAAGGCCCTGTATTCACTTCCCAGTGCAAAAAACCCAAAACAACAACAACAAAAAACATAGCTCCAGACAATGGAATATTACTCAGCCATAAAAAGGAATAGCATTCTGATGCACACTACAGTGAGGATGAATGTTTTCTATGAATAATGCTGCTTTGTTCCTCTTCTTCACATCTCCTTCTGCCTTTCCAGGAGGCTCGTGCCACCTGCTTCTCAATATCGGCCCTTCGCCTTGCGTTCCATCCCCAGCACTAAAGTATATATAGTGGTCAAAAATACAGTGGGTGTATGGGTTAAAACAGAAGTAGTTTATTGCAGTGAGGGACAGATGGCAGTGAGGGCTATATTCCTGGTCCTCTGAATGTCCACTCCTCGTGGCTCTCCCCCTTCTTGTGAGACCACCCATACTACTGGATTAGGGTCCACTAGAGTACAAACCTCAAGTGCCCACAAAGCCTGGTGTGATCAGTGTGGTGACAGAAGGGCTCCATTTCTCCGCCGAGAAGCCTAGTTCTGCCCCAAACACACAGGCAGACAAGAGCATTATGGGAAGCTGACTAGGAAAGGCACAAGATAAAAATGAAGACAAAAACCCTCTTTCTGGGGGCTGGGGATTTAGCTCAGCAGCATAAGCACCTGCCTTGCAAGCAGGTGGTTGTGAGTTCGATCCCCAGTACTGATAAAAAGTTAAAAAAACAAACAAACAAACAAAACCAACCCTCTTTCCTCCCAGTGAGCCAGTGCTGCGGCTTCCCCAAAGCTCAAAGCACTCGGGTATCCTTATCTAAGCTTGCAGGGCCTTTGTGAGGCCTGGGCGAGGCCCTGACAGTTTACAAGTCTGGTAGAACTTCAGAAACAGCCACGTGCTCAAGGACTGATGCGAATCAGGAGCCCGGAGGAGGCTGACCCTGAGGTCTCCAGAGCCACCACTCTGCACCCTCTCCGTGTCCTGCTCCTCATAGACACACCGGCCTCCCGTGCCTACGTGATTCCTGTCTTGAAAACGCACCCACAGTCCCTCCTGATAGCGTACCCTGATCTCATCTGCTGGTAAACACTATTTACTCCCTGACACTGGCACTCCTTGTGCTGTCTGGCATGGTACTAAAGACTTAGTCCCTACGATGGCTGTGTGGCGAGGTGGAAGAATCTTTAAAAACCGGGGACTCGCGGGAGGTCTTTAGCTCACGAGGAGGCAGCAGGGCTTTGTTTCCCTCCTCAACCTCTTTCTAGCTCCTTGGCCATGAAATGATTGGTGTTCACTCTTCCAAGCCCTCCCACTATGATGTGCTGCCTCACCACAGGCCAAATAACCTTTTCTCTTTATATAAGTCTATGATCCCAGTTATTTGCTATAGTAACAGAAAGTTGACTAATAGGAGGCCCCACCATAATTACCTCAACCTCAATTACTTCCGTTAGGGCTTTATCTCCAAATGGAGTCACATTGGAGGCCAGAGCTTCCACATGGAGATTTTGGGAGGACACAATTCAGTGTGTAACAGACGGGAAAATATACTCTCCTACTCAAGAGCAAGCTTTTGACATTGCAGGAAAGTTGGGGCATAATTCTAAGTCAAGGGGTAGAGAATTGGCAGTCAACACTAAATCTAGCACAGGCCGTTCTAAGAAGTGAATATGTTCATTATGGAAAGTGTTTGTTACAGTTGAAATAAAAAATCTGCCCCCAAAAGTCTCACATTCAGAAGTCAGGCCTGTTTGGAAGGGCAGATCACTAGGACGTGATTTGGAGGACTGCATTCTTGTCCCCAGCCCCGCCCTTCTTTGTCTGCTCCCTGGCCACCATTTGGCAATCCCTGTTCCCCTGTCTTGCATCCTGCCTTGCAGTCAGCTGACCATGGACTGAAAGCACTCAAACCGTGAGCCAAAATGAGCTTCTCTTCCTTTAAGCTGGAGATGTTGGGCTGCAGCGACGGGAAAGAGACTAGTTAGGAAATTGTGACCAGGAGTGGGGTTGTTGATTATGATTGACCCGATTGTGTGGTTTAGAAACTTTTGGGTATGGTTTGCAGAAGGAGTTTGAAAAGGTTTGGAGAAGATGTTAGAAATGTTTCAGAGTGACACTGGGTGGAGAGCAGAAGGCCAGTAGGAAAGTGGACAGTAAAGGCCGGGCTGGGCAGGTTCCAGTTGGGAGCCAGGATCTCGTCGGGAGGTGGAACAGAGACCGAGTGTGTTGCACGCTGTCAGAGAGTTTGTTTTCATTTTCCTCATGTCCTGAGACTTCATAGGAGCCTGACATTAAGGCTGGAGACTAATTAATCTGGTGGGTGAGTCCTACTGGCTGCTTTCAACCAGATTTCATGTGAGAATCAGGACCCAAAAGCAGAGCTGAATAATTTGAAAAAATTTGCTCATGGCCAGAAAAGAAGCATCTGTAAAGCTGAGGCCACCAGCCCCATGTGACTCCCAAACATAGTGACCCAAATGGAGGGGCGCTGTAAATTTAGTGCAAAAAACAGAATGCAAAGTATCTTGTTAGTCATTTCTAACACCAGCTCTCACACATTGAAATGATTCATGGCTTAGATATAGCAGAGTAAATAAAATACATTATGAAATTAATGTCACCTGTTTCTTTTTACTTTTCTGATGTGGCTGCTGGAGAATTTCCACTTGCACACACGCTGTGACCAGGTCCTGAGGGAGGGAATGCTCGAAGGCCAGGGGAGCACCCATGAGGAGGTCTAGGGAACAGGGTGGCCTTGAGATCGCAGGAGGAGCCAATGCAGGCAGCCAGTGGCCAGTGCTTCAACCAGGCCCAAACCCGTGGTGTCAGAGGCGAGTGATGGAACCAGAAAAGTAGAATTTACACAGTGGTTCCCTGCAAATCGAACCTTTCTACTTGCCACTGGCCCTCCATTGCTGTCTGGCATGGTAATAAACAGTCCCCAGGATGGCTCTGTTGGAGGCAGGCAGGTTTTGTTTAAGGCAGCCAGACCACCTAAACTGGGACAGGCAAGCAGTCAGGATGACATGCTAAAAAGGCCCAGGAGCCCACAGCTGCCATCAGCATCCTGGGAAGCCAGCTGCCCTGGTGGGGCTTCCAGGTAGCAGGACAAGCCTTCCGCCTGGGTCCATCCAGGAGTGATGGGCCACCAGACACCTGGAGCTGCCCCCTGAGAGCTTGGTCCCCTTGACCTGCTACCTGGGTGGCCACTCACCTCAGAAGCCACCCCACTGGCTTGAGAACCACCATCCCACTCAAAGTTCAAAAGGGAAAATGAGTGTATGCTCCAAGAAGAATTCTGATTGGCCCAGCTTGGGTCATGTGCCCATTCCTGGGCCAATCACTGTGGCTATTTGAGTCCCTCATATAATGTGATTGACAGTGCTTCCAGAAACACAGAGTGATTCTCCAAAGGGATCAGGAGAGACCTTGTATGGAAGAGACAGGATGCAAACCAGAACTCCCAGATCCCCACTGTACCCTTCTAGAGATTCCTTGGCCCTTACAACCCCTGCTCTTGCTTGGGGGGCATTTTCTCCACATGCCAAGGCCAACTGGGCATGGGTGCTTTGAGAGCCCCGCAGAGCCAGAGATGGGCTGCAGGAGGTTACATCTCAGTGAGTTTCCTGGGTGTCCTGTACTTGCCTCCATAGGTGACCAGCAGGTGGGAAACCTTCTAAGGTCACATCTCTGCACACATCCGGACCCTGGCCCGCCTCTGGCTTTCCCCATGATGTGTGTTTCTGGAGCTACGCCACCTGGTGGCCTCTGGGCGAGACACTGGGGCCACAGAGAGAAAAGTCAGGGTCCCTGTGTGCGGGAGCCACCACCTGAGGGAAGAGTGGGGAACAGAAAAAGTGGCAGAGGAACATCTATCAGTCAGGGGAGCCCCAGGCACACTCCTCCAGCACTGCTCCCATTGCCGCTCTCCTGGGGGACCCACTGTGGCAACCCCAGGACCCCAGATGTGGCCTGCAGCTTCCCCTGCCACGTCTTACAGATCAGAGGCCTCCAAAGGCAGCTGGAAATCAGGGCAGTGAGCCCAGGGCAGCCCTCAAGCCAGGGAGACACACTCAGATTCCCGTCTCTTCCTGTCCCTTGAGTTGCCCTGACCCTGCCCGTCCCCGTCACAGGCTCTGCTTTGGGCGGGGATGGACGCCCATGAAGAGGACCAGGTGCAGCTTATGCTGGCACTTTGGGGATGGAGCAGGGAAGATCAAGCCACCGGTGACAATCGGCAGGAAGATGTCACAGCACAGGGCCTCGAAGGCTTCCAGGGAGGACCCAGGGGTCCAACCCGGCCCTTGTGTCCCCACCCCAGGTCCTGGGTGACATCCCAGTGGGGTTCCCCGGCCACAGCCACACCGCCCAGGCCCTCAGCCCATCTCTCCGGAGCCCGCTAGGGAACAGGGAACAGACAAATGGAGAAAAAGTCATTTCTCTCCCTCTCTCCGCTGATTGCTTTCTGCAGCCTGAGGTCCCTCCCAGGCCCCACCTTCTCTCCTCCCCGTCTCCCCTCTCCGCCTCCCAAGGACAAGGATGCAGAGATACGGCCCCCCTGGGCCCAGCTCGTCTCTCTCTAAATGAGTTTCTGAAATGTAATCCCGGTGGTGACAGTTGGCCCATGGCTGGCACAGCCCCGTGGGAGGGACGGCTCCTGCAGCTGCTAGGCACCTTGGGCCAGGGCTG